GCTAGTCAGGGTGATGTCAGGTGACTTCAGCTCTGGAAAGGGTTGAAGGTGACTCTAAGTCCCTTCTGAGATGACTGTGAGGTCTACTTCTGATTCATTTTTAAAGTCAATAGTCTTGGCATTAATATTCAATTTCATTCTCCAAGAAGATTCTGGATCTTCATAAGTTATAGATCTCAGGAAAAACTGCCCATGATGTCCTGTAGTATGAGCCAATTGAAAATGTCCATATTACTTCAATTCGTTGCACTCTGCACCTCTGATTGGAATGCATCACTCTTGGAATATGACTTTTTCCACACCTTGTGCATCTAGGCTTGAATTTGTCCCTCTTGGGAGTTCTCTCTCCTTGCTTCAGGGGTCTTATGGTATTAACTGCTAGCACTCCTGCTGCATTTGTTAACAGCTTCTAAGCTAGTTTCTTGTTTTTCAGGTTTGGCCAGTTAGTCTTGGATTTTCTGTCTCACACACTCAGCCTGCTTTTCTATATGACTAGCTGTGTGCAGGGTTAGTTCTCTTTTTAACTGAAAGTCTCTGAAAATATTTTGTCTGCTCACCCAATAACCAGACTGTTTCTGATATTTTCATGTTTAGCATCCCCAAAATCACAGTTTTCATCCAATTTATACAGATTTCTTAGAAAACATTCAATATTTTCCACTGGTTCATGATTTCCCTGGTGGAAACAGGGTCTTTCATAAGTCACATTTCGCTGGGGTATAAAGTATGCATCAAACATAGGCAGAAGCCTTTCATAGTCTTCTTGGTGACTGTCTTCAGTAAAGTTCAAGGATTTAAAGATATGCTCAGCCTGCTTCCCCAAACCTGTATATCTCCAGTTTCCTTGTGAAGCTTTCTTGCAATTTGAAATATTGCAAAACACTGTTTTCAGTCTGTCCATTCTGAAGGTTTGTCAAAGCTCAAATTCTTGGGGCATTGAAGAATGGCATGTTGGTGAGATCCTTCAGGCTTTGTTACTGTTCTTTCTTTTTGCAACCTTCTGTTTCTGTTCTCCTCTGGTTCTAGTTTTCTTCTGACACTATGTCATGGTCCTTTAGCAGATATGGATTGGTTACAGAGTTTCCTTGTGAGCCAGGTACAAACAACCATGATCCAAACTCCATTTGAATCAATAGAAGTCTTTCTATTGCCTTGGATGAGATTTGAATCAGGCCCTTGCTTGTTGAGGCACAAGAGGGACAAAAATCAGAGTTTAGACAGATCAAGGCCCCTTCCCTGTTTCCTAAAGTTAGACATTTAGAATAATCAGTACAACCATAATCCCTATGGAACACCTCTCAGGAATCAGGACATTTTCCCTGGGGGCAGGTTTGACTAACAGCATCATAGCCAGGGTGTACTAGGGTTTAGCACCCCCAATGGAAATGTTGTGGCATCTGATGTATGTTTCAGCCCCTGTATATTGTTCCCTGTAAACTGTGAGCGCTTGTGGGGGTGGGAGGATGGAGACGTGAGCAGGATGCAAAGGGTCTGTGAGAGGTCACTGTGGTGTCTGGGATTGGAACAAGGAGCAGGTAGGAACAGCTCTCCCCACCAACTCTCAATAGCTACCCATGCAGAGCACCCCTCCTATTCTCTAGACTTACTCCCTGTCACAGGAGGCCCAGCATATCAAGTGGGGCCACCACCATTGGCCCAGTTCAGGGTTGGTACGCCCCCTCACATGATCGTTGAGATTGCCTGTTGGATCAGGCCACTGCAATAAGGGGGACTCAGGGCCTCTGGCAGGGGCCCGGTAAATACTTGGTCTAAGCCTCCCGAGCCTCTTGGCTGGAACATGTAATAGAAGTTGGGGGCTCTGATCCACTGGGCAGGTTCCGACCGAGAGCCCTATGAAGCCGGAAAATTCCCAGTTAATGGTTCAAGGATCAGCTTCTTATACATTCCCTTGTCTTGGGCATTTACTCGGCTGGCAGTAGCTCGATGTACTCCAAACACCCCAAATACCTTTTCATATATATTGTTCAGGACAAAAAGTTCCTTTTCCACCATTGGTCTCACTGTGAGTTCCAGGTATCTCAGCTTATGTAACCAATAAGCTAAAACATTGCCAATTGATCTATCTTTGACAACAAGTGATTCTTATAGACCTAAACATCAAGTAGTGGTTTATTATGGTAGCAGTCACAAAACACATCTTAGAATAAACATATTACTAGTAGCCCCACTCTGCACATCTGGATACAATGTGTATGGGTCAGCATGCTCAGAGCAAGGGCTTACACACACTCCTTTACTGGTTACATATATTCTAACATTTGGTAATCAACTAAAGTTTAATATAATTACAGAGAACTTTTTAGTTTGAAAAGTAGAGAACACTAAATTTGTAGATACAGAACACTTTGGTTCCTAGAGAAAAAGGATACTGGTTGATATATGTATAAAAGAACTGTGGGGTTTAATATATACTCAAAGTTTATATCTCAATAAAACCTGAAAGAATTTAATGAAAGAAAGTAAAGGTGCATTCCTAGTCAAAGGATTTTCTCCCCTGATTCAGGGCTAATGCAAACAATGGAGATGTGAGAACTTCTCAAAAACATCACAGAGTATTTTATAATAGAATTAGGCAACCTAAATATAAGGATCCATAGCAGCTCCCTCTACAATAATATTTCTTAGTAAATAGGTGCAAGGTGTAGAGGTACACTTGCTGTGAGAACCACGGCTCTGAAATGTTCCTAGAGATTGTGTCACTAAAATCTCACCAATAATAATGGAAGGGTAGCAATATTTATTTCTGCAGTAAAAGGCTCCCCCTTCTGCATTAACTCTAAGAAAACTCCAATTGACAACCTCATACATATGTATAATAAGAAATGTATAACTCAAAATCCAAAATCTTGGACCAGCTTTTGGGCTCAATTATGCAAGTTCAAATACAGAATTATTCCAATGACTGCAAAACTTTTTTCTGGAAACATACAACTGCAACTCAGGACAGATTCTGTAACTTTGCTTCCAACTATCAATAAAATGGCTGAGTTGGACAAAAAAAAGGACCCAAATGTTCAGTGTTTATTTGAGAAAAAAAATCTATTTTGGATATAACTCTGTGAAAGTCAATAGACTTAATATGTATTTAAACTTATATAACTGAGAGCAGATTCTGACCTACAGTTTTGTTTTCGGAGGGCTTTTTTTCTCTCTGATTAGATATGGAATATTTTAGTAATATGTTTAGTGCATCAACCTCTGTTACTGGATTTCTCAATGAAATATATTAAAATAAAAAATGAATATGCATAAAATATATTATTCTTTTGGAGGCCAAACCCTTAAATTCTCACCCAGCACAGAAGTTTAAAAGGACAATTCACTTGTTTTGAAATAAAAACCTTTTGAAAACCTTATGCAGAAAGGCCTGTGAGCCATGCCTCCCTCCCTCCCTCCCTCCCCTGCCCCAAATTGAAATGTGGGGACAGCAGAGCCGTGCGTGGCAAGATCTAGATATTGCTGAGCAAACATGGAGGAAAGTGAAGAGAAGTCAGGTTGGTGGGCTGGACTGAAGCAGAGGGGAACTAGACAGGAGGTAGTGATGGGGCAGTTATGAGCAGACATAGGCAGAGGCCACAGATTCAGGCCAGTAAAAAATATGGCATATCCTGCAATTGTTGAGAGCACAAAGGACTTTGACTGGTGCTATGCCTGAAAAACATTTTTCAGAATGCCTTTGGTTTTCATAAAGTGTAGCAGGGAGTTAGCCCATACTGAATTTCTTTAGGCACTGATCTACTTATATCTTGTTAACTGCTTAAAATCCTGCTCACACCACACCGATACTGATTCCCTGTCTTTGAAATATGAAGCAAATGTGCATAATCTTAGGCTGCTGTTATTCTCTTACCGGTAATGATCAGGAGGCAAAAAGGGAGTCATTTTTAATACCCAAATTGTCACAATGAAAAAGGAGAAAGTTCTGAAAAATGCATCTGCCAGTGATGATACAATAGGGAGGGCCTGGCCAAAGATTTTGGGTTTGGGCTCCAGAACGAGCTGCTTCTTCATGGCAAGGTGACAAATGAAATGTTGACACAGTAATTGAAATGTCGTTCTTCTCTTGCAGAGCAACTGCAGAAAACAATTGGTATGTGCTCCGTTTTTTTCACCAGAATATTGTTCCTTACCAGAATAATGCTCTGAATAAGTTTCTGGCTCTCCCCCTCTCCTCACCTTCATCTCTTTCCTCACTGCACCAGTGGCCATGAGAATTGAGTTTAATTCATTCCCCAAGCAGACCAGCTGATGACAATTTCAGTGTATCTCAGGAATGCACAAAGATCAATTCCCTGATTGATTTGAGCTGTAATGCTGCAAACCAGAAAGCTTGGAGACTCTGATTCTGGCCATTATCTTCATTCTAATTGTAAAACTAATCATAGGGTAAAACAAGCTGTAGTTGCCTTATATGGAAAATTACCTTGAAACATAAAACACAGGTATGTCTGTCTCAGATATTCATGCATATATTGTGATTACATTCATAGGGGTCATAATGAGGAGAGAGGGCACAAGTACCTCTGCCTTAAACCGTCTTATTCAATATTGGTGGGATTTTTCGACAGCCTGAGTGTTGTAGGAGCACAAGTTCCCTGGAAAGTCTCCATTTCTCGCTCACTTGGATGTTTTTGAAAATCCTCCTCCTTGCCTGTGGGATACTATCGGCCCCAGCCTACGGCAGTGCTATGTGCCAGACTTGTTTGTGCATTAGTTCTAGACTATTCAAATGGGGCCAAGATGGGAGAAGTGACATCAGTCATTTCTTCTGGATTTCAGTCGGTATGAGGTGCCTAGGCACTTTAAAACATCCAGCTAGGTGCTTATCTGCACTTTGAGATGCCTAAATGCCTTCAATAATCCGCCTCTGCTTCCTAAGAAGCCCCATCAAGGCTGCCCTCCCTTTAGGCTCTGCCAGTTTCTCTGGGCAGGGACTGATTCTCTTTCCTGTTCCCAAGGAGGGATTTCCTCTCATCCCAACCAGCCTCCACTGGAGGAGCTCAAAGCACACTCTCAACAATAATAAATGAAACAACCTATCAAATTGTGAGGCCCTGAGCATTATTGTCTCCCTTGTAAACACGGGGAAAGTGAAGAATAGGAAGCTTTGGTTGCTGTCCTAAGGAGATATGGGAATTTATGGCAGACATGGGAACCCAGTTCCCCTCAATCATTGTGTTGTCCATTAGCTATAGCAGTCACACTAACATTGCTTCTTCCATTTGGAAAGTTCCAATTCTTTTGAAATCCATTTTATGTACAAGAGGGAATACAGATCGAACCAGGGGTGTCTCTCAAACCCGTGGAAATTTTAACCTTAAGGGAGATACTGGGCTGTGTATAAAAAGAAAAGGAGTACTTGTGGCACCTTAGAGACTAACAAATTTATTAGAGCATAAGCTTTCGTGGGCTACAGCCCACTTATTCGGATGCTGTGTATGACTTTCCTTTCCTTCTCTCAGGAATCAGATTAATTACCCATGTCAGTTGGGTTATAAAATTTAGTATCTCGTCCTAGCCAATGCTAATGGATTTTTCAAGGTGTAAAATTCTGTCTGTGCTAGATAAAAAATGGTGTTTTAAAACGTGTTAGCTAACCCATTTTAATGAACATCTTTGAAAACACTATAACTCCAACTCCGGTTGGTGTCGACGCTTCCAACCCTCCCCTTTGTTACCTGGAGTTCTTTCAACCCAAAGCTCTTAGTAACTTTTACTCTGTGTGAGGTGGTGTCAGGAAATACATCAAGGGAGACACAGCCATCCAACTGATAGATGGCTGGCACAAACAGGGCAACACAAGAGTGCTTTCACTTAAAGCTAAACTTTACTTAGTCTTGTCGGGGACTTTTTAACCCAGACGGCAAGGTTCGTTGTCTGACCGCAGAGTGAGAGACAGGCAACACCAGCAAGGTCCAATACAAGCTCTTTATTGAAGAGTGCACACAACAATAGAGAGCGGCCCATCTCCAGAGAGAACCAGCACACCCTTTACAACAACTAGTGAGATTATATAGACAGTTCCGTCACGTCATAGTTAAGCAACTTAAAACCCCAAACCCCCCCTTATTAGTTAAAGCTTCTAATATTCATGCATATCTATCTTCTTTGACAGTACAAACAGTTCATGATGCCTCAGCAGCTTCTTATCAGCTTTTTCGTTACGTATCAGAGGTTGAGAGAAAAGAGGGAGTTACGTACAGATAAAAAACAGAAACAGGGAGTGGGGACTTCGAGTCTTCATCTGTTCAAACAAATTGTTCCTGGTACATTTGGTACAAGAATGCGGCCCCCACCTCCTATCTTATCCCCTGCAGCTTAAGCAAGCATGCCCTCAGGTCTTACAGAGAGGCAGG